ACAAGTCAATCGACTTTCCATGTGAATGTGCTTGGCATCAATGAATACAGGCCTGTGTTTTTGAATGCTCTGTATACTTTTCAAGTTGTTGAAGAAACACCTGATACAGTTTTGTATGTAAAGGTAAGTTGAATACCATAGAAGGTAGTGACAAGTTTTAACAGTGATTTTTAAAGCAGAAGAATTCAATCAAAGTAAAATTTTGTCTGAAATATTAATTATTGTGAATTTATTATTTTCATGGATTTGTTAATGGAAAATGACATATTTGTTAATTCTTAAATTCATAGATTCAGGAAGCTGTTCTCTTGTTTCCCCAAAGGTATCATTGTTCATTGATTCATCATATTTGTTACAAAACTTTACATGGCAATTTCTACAGGAATAAAAGCTTGACATATTTTATATTTAAGCTAGTTTACTTTAATTTGATACTGGTGCTGAACAATATTTTTTATTTGCTAGAAATTGATGAGCCATATTGTCATTTGTTATTTTATGTAGATTTATGTAACCAAAAATTATATCCTGGATATTTTATCATTATAGCACATTAGTAACTATAGGTTATTACTATAGGTTATTGAGTGACTAATAAGCAAATTTAGAGAATTATTTAAAAGAAAATGTGCCAGCTGCAAAAAAATGATTTTATTTGTGCATGGTTGTCTTTTTCTTGTCTTGGTTTAAATTCCTTGGTTTCAGTGTTCTAAGGCAGCATATCCATTAAGATTCCTTTTATTTCCTGGTTTCAGAACTCCAGATGGAGTTTGTTAGCAATTGCAGGGTAGTGCAAAAAACGGGGAGGGTTATCAAATCATCCTTTTCCTTAAGATTTTGCCTGCATTTTTATGAAATAACCACATTCAGTACATAATTTCATGTAGCTTGTTGGAATATTTTTTCATCACTTTTACGAAGTTCACATGGACACCATTTGATTCAAACTTGCTTATAAGTCAAGTTCAACTCCAAGCAATATAGGCCATGATCTGCCAGTGCATCATGTGCCAGGCAAACAGGATCTATATTGCTTTGTTCTACTTATTACCCCTAATCTCTGCATTTACAGATCTGGATCAATGCAGCTTGCAGTTCGATGTGAATTACAAATGAAATTAGTTTGTATACTTTAAGTCATAATATATTTGTGTCATTCCAGTCTAGTCAATCTTTATTTTCAGGAAATAAAAGACATACAAGTTTAAGTTTGACATATTACCAGTGTCTGAAAATACAACTTTTGATGGTAATGGTTTTGACAGTGATCAAAAAACAGTATGAGCTTGCATGGTTCATTATGTCGATACAAAAATTTAAAGTGTAATTAATTATTGTAATAAAAAGGGAATATCAAATTGCAATAACACAAATGACTCAACTGTAAGGAATGTCCAAATATAATAACTTTTAAAAAAAATCAAAATTAATATATCTACTTGTCCATTGTAGTACCCATTCTTTTTCTTGACACAGTACTTAGAAAATAATTACCTGCTAATTACCCAATCAAAAGCTGTCTATCCAGACAGTCATCTGCATTAAATTATAGCATACATCTCATTATATTTTCATCATAATATTGTAACATGAATAGAATTTTAGTGATATACAGAATTTAGATCATTTGACCTTATTTCATATTTAGTTGTGAGTTGAATGGTGTCTACATGATTATTGTTGTCTTACCCATATGTAGGAAGACATAGATGTCTATAAAAATTGATTATTGTTTTCTTTGCTGTGTGTGGGAAGACATAGGTGTCTATCTGACTTGATTACTCTGGTCTTACCCATGGAATGACATAGATGTATACATAACTTAATTAATGTTGTTTTATTTGTGTGTTGGAAGATGTGGGTGTTACTTGTATGGCAGTGAGGAAAATTTTATTGTCAGTATCAATCATTATCTTCTATGGCACCATTATTAGACTTTTTGGAAATCACATATCGTAAAAGAAACTTTGAGATAATATTACTATAAGCCTAAAATTTGTACCAGGTGTTTCTGTCTCATCAATATATTTTGTCATCATTGTGTCATTCACAGGAGAATGTACTGCATTCAACTGTGCCCTCGAAACACTCTCCATAATAATATCATGGTATTCTTTGGTGATAGAAATGAAAATTACCATAATATATGACCACATTATATTATAAATTCACTACATTTTAGTTTTTATATCAAACATGTGACTATAAATGAAAAGTACTTTAATGCATGTACCCTTTTCTTTTCTTAAAGGCATATGACATAGGTTAAAATGGAGTAGCTGAGTATGAAAAAAAAGAACTTTAATGACAGTATAAAAAGTCTTTTCTTTTCATTAAGGCACATGACAGAGATTTAGGCCAAAATGGAGTATTAGAGTATGAATTACAAAACAACTACTGGTAAGTTATTTTTATTATTCTAATTCAAATTTGTTCTAAAGATTTAGATTTGTATATGCCCAGAAGGTACTAAAATTATTCTGAATTCTTAGAACTGCTATAACTGTCTGTTCATTATACAAATATGTGCTAATGCAGTTATTTCCTGCATCCAAATGTTAAAATGTGCAGTTACCAAACTTTTTGGATGGTTTGTATTTGGAGATCATAGGCATTGGAAAAATGGTTTCTGCACATTCGTGGTAAGTCTAAATTTGGGGTAAGGAAGAGGACTATCAGTTTTGAGATTAAAACATGAATAATTTTCACAGTGACATTGAGCAAGAAAAGAAAGATGGTTTCTGCACAATTGCATTAGTTTTACTTCACATACCATCAACTTTTGTGGGTAGCTTGCACTTAGAGAAAGGAAGAAACCTATCAGGTTTTGGGTGAAAAGGTCAAGGGTTAGGATTATTGTGACTGAAAGAAGAAAAATGGTTTACAATTCAATGCAATTAGTTCTTCATCATAGACCAAATGTTGTTGACGAGCTACACTTAGAAGCCTATTGATTTTGAAATCAAAAGGATCAATGGTCATGGTCACTATGACTGAGAAAAAAATGGTTTCTGCACCAAATTTGTTATTTTCATCCACCATAATTAAAGTTTTTTGGATGACTTACATGATAAAAAAGAAGCATATTAATTTGGGGTTAAAAGGTCAAATGTCAAGGTCACCATGGCTAAAAGAATAAAAATAATTTTGCATACTAATTTCATTTCTAGACCACATACCATTACTGAAATATGTGGGGGGCTTGCACATAAGGTTAAGGAAGAAGCCTAATGATTTGGGGGTCACCAGATCACAGATTGAAATGATTGTAGCTTATCAGGTTTCCAGAATATGTATGTTTTGTTCTACGCTAAGTTTATTGACTAACTTTGTGATTGGCTGACTCTTAGGGATAAAATAAACATAGCTTTTGGGACTAAAGGTCAAGGTTATAGAGATCCATTGATTGGTAATCTCTAGGGTCAATCATTCTGCACAAGTGTGTGCAAAGCAGACAATTAAACACAGATGGGTGAATAATGTACAAATTATGGTACTTGTTACCAGTTTATCTTATGGATGTAATCCTCTGTTAACCTGATTAAATCAAATATGGTTATTGAAAATAATTTAGTTTGATGGGTTTTGTTTGAAAAATAGTGATATGTCATCTTAGTGGCTATATAAGCCTTTGAATAAACATCTAAACAAATGGACATGCCATAGATGGGAATGTAGATTCAGTTTCTCTTGAATGAAGGGCATGTCTGTAACAGAGATGGACGTGGGCATCATTCTGACAGTGAAGGTGGTCTTATTGTCATGACTGGTGGACTTGCTTTTGATGGGAAATAAGGTCCTGTTTTGACAGATTAACATACACTTGATTAGGAAAGTGGTCCTTATGTCTGTGCAAGTGGATATGTATCTGGTGGGTTTGGGGTCCTATTGTCTTGACAGATGGACATGTCTCAGATTATAAAGTATGTCTTATTGTCTGTACAGATGAACATGCTCTGATGAGAAAAAGTTCCATATTATTTACATAGATGTTCAGGTCTCATGATATGGAAGTGGGTCCTGTTGTCTACATTGATGGATATGCTTGCAGTGGGAAAGAGGTTCTTATTTTGACAGATGGACATGAGAAAATGTTTGTTATTGTCTACACAGATTTCAGGTCTTGTGATGGGAAAGTGGGTCATATTGTCTACACAGATGGACATGCTTCTGATGGGAAAGAGATCATACTGTCATGACAGATGGACATGTCTTGTATGTGGAAGGGATCTTATTGTCTTGACAGATTGATCATTGTTTATTTTCTCTATCCAAATGAAGATTTAAAATATGTGTTTTTGTGTGTAAATAAACTACTCAACAGAGAAAATTTAATTATATTTTTCCAAAGTACAGTTTATGTAATGTGATTTGAGAAATCCTTGGAGATTGATATTTCACATCTCAGACATCACTGGTCATATACTTATCAATTTTACACAGGCATACTGTGAATGGTACATTAGATATTTTTGCTCTATGTTTAATAGTCCTCCATGTAGATAACTGAAACTTTGCACAGAAACAATTTTTTTTATTCATTTGCAATGGCCTTGATCTTTAATCTTTTGATCCTAAAATTAATAGGTTTCTTCTTTGTGCCAAGAAAAAGACATCTCCAAAGTTTGGTCAATGTACCTATTGTAGAAATAATGTTTATTGTAGAAACCATTTTTATTCATTCAGTCAGTAACCTTGACCTTTGACCACAAATTAAAATGATTTCTTCATTATCCCTCAAATGCAAACCATACACAAAGTTTCATAACCATAGATGATGAAAAATGCAAGTTATTGTGCATAGCCAATTTTAGTCTTTTACACACAGTGACATTAACCTTTCACTGTTTGATCTCAGAGTTATTAGAATTCTTTCTTACCCCAAGTGCATGCCATCCACTAGTTTCTTAATTGTTGATTATGGATAACTTAAGTTATTATGTGGAAGCAATGGTATCAGACAGATGAAAGTATAGGTGTAATTACAATTCATGATAAACCACTCTGGTGGTTCTATTGGTTAAAGTGTCCGCCTATAATGTGGGAGGTCGTGGGTTCAAACCCCGGTCAAGTCATACCAAAGACTTACAAAAATGGTACTAACAGCTGCCTCGCTTGACGCTCAGCATTAAGAGGTTAGTGTTAGGATTGGTTGGCCTGGTGTCAGGATAATAAGATTGGGTGGGACATCATGCTACATGTCTAAGGCATGATGCCCCAGTGCTAGACATCACTATAAACTGCCACACTGCTGACATCATAGCGATAAGACTTAAAAATTGTTATAACTACGTTAAAAAAATAATAATCACATCACATCACAATTCATGATATAATATACTCTGCCTTGTAGTGGGCACACACAAATTTATGTTCAATTATGAAGCACAATGACTAGAATATTGTCTATTAAAATAAATATTTATCTGATAAAAATAAAATTTATGTAAAATAATGAATTAATAGAATTAAATATTCAATGAACTTGCATAAGCAAGTGGTCTCTCTTTAAGGAGAAAAAAAATGGTACAAGTGTACTACTGTGGGTAGGTAGTGGGAACACAGGGGTATCTTTGTGTACCCTCTTTGGATTGTGGTATGGGCATGTGCTAGAAAACAATGTATATGCTTTATTTGCTCAGAAAAGTAAGGTTTGTTGCAGTGGATATGAAAACAGCTTTAAAGATTTACTTGTATCTTGATATATTGCATCTGAGTGAATAGTGAAACATTTCTTGACATCCTATGATCTATACAGTTTTGGCACCAGTTTAAAATATAATTAAAAAAATAATATAGAAAACTTATCTGCAATATTTTTGTGTTATGATTTTTGTTCATAGTAATTATTACATTTTAATTGAAACATATATTGTATTGGTTTTTCAGGTCTTCAGATATTACCATAAATCATACGACAGGAGAAATACATGTAAAATCCATAGACAGAGAAAATTTAAATGATGGCGATGAAATCCAACTATTGGTCATTGCAAAGGACCATGGCAGCCCTGAACAGCATGGGTTTGCTTCGATAACTATAATTGTAAAAGACATCAATGACCATGCACCAACATTCAAGGAGTCCACAAGAACCTTTGACCTGAAAGAAGGCTACAAAGGTGTTTTCTACCATGCACAGGTTAAAAGCTATAATGTATTTCTTTATTATTCAGTTTGAATTTGAATTATTGTAGTTTTTATATTGACTATCAACTAAAGTTGATTTTGTTCAGGGATTATTAAAGTTTCATGATGAAAACAAAACTGGGTCATTTAACTTGTACACAAATGGCTCACATTTAATATCCTTAAGGATTTACCTTGCATCTGCAGTGCATCGGAGATAATCTAATTTATGTGTACAATATTTAGCAAATATCAAAGTATTTATGCAAATCTAAAATTTCTGATATTCTTTTGTTATGTTTTAGATGTTTAAAACAAAAGTTGTATTTTGTAATTAAAAAAATGTTGTAATAAAATTGAATCACATGTAATTAATTTGTCATTAAAATTCGAAATTTTACAAATCAGTCATTTGAAAGATCATTATTCAGAATCCATATTTTAGTTGTAGGAGACTTTGAAATCAGATGAGATCTGAAGTCCTTTTAATTTCCTGTCATTTCATTTGTAACAGTTATTGCACTAAGTTTTGCCCAGGACTTGAATTCATTTCCTTCCCATCATAATCAGTCAAGGCTACATCTTATTATTTACACATTTTGGACATTATTCATGCAAATTAAATATTAATCTAAAATTATATGTAACGGCTTTCTTGAGCAGATTCAGTAGTGTTCATAAAACCTTGCCTTTTTTTATTTGACAGACAAGACTCACAAACACAGATATATATATATATATATATATATATATATATATATATATATATATATATATATATATATATATATATATATATATATATATATAGTTAAATACCATAGATTTTGGTAGATGAACTAACACACATACACTGAAGTAACTGTGCATGCCAGTGACCCTTTAGTGACAAAGGAGATTAATTCATCTTTGTCTCACAGGTCAGACATGATCATACACAGATTGTGAAACTGATATAACCATTCCTGTCTCTACACCTGTCTTGGACGGTACCTCTCATACTTTCTTGACACTTCAGTGGCAGGCAAGGTTATCACAAGTACCATAGCATCATTTGGTGACAAGAGCAGACCTGTGTTTTCTGCATCACTCCTTTGCTCTTAATGCACAATCAGTAGTGTTGCATGCAGGTACAAATCAGCAAGTCTTATGATCCATACAGTCATCTACATGGATGACACCAATCCAGTTACTTTACACCTTTTATCATCTGCCACATAGATGAGTCAATAACCCATTCACTGCTATATATATGTATCTATGCTATATATGTATTTTTGTCTAAATGTGCTAATTTATTCATTTTAACCTATTCATATATACAGATAGTCACACTTTATTACATTCATATAGTCACACTTTATTAGATTGGAAAGTTTTCTTTACAGGCAATTGACCCTGATGAAGATGTCAATGCAATTGTCCATTATAGGATAATAAATGGAGATGAATCTATATTCAGCATATCAGACACTGGCGCTGTTTCACTATGGCAACCTTTGGTTCTAGATGGCAGAATCAACAATATCATTTCATTAGAAATTGAAGCCTACAATACAATACCTTACACTAATCAACACATTACTAATGGAAAACAGATACTCACCATACATATCCAGGTAATCGTTTTAAAATATTTCCACATAAAGTTAAAAGCAGTAAATGAAAAGTGCATGCAAGTAATTTTGCCCCATATCTCATTAAATGTGAACTTTAATTAAAAATCTGTTTTAGATTATTCAGAAACATAACATATGGTAGGGTTAGTACCTACCCATATATAGTTTATATAAATGTTTAAATGGAGTTACATATTTTCTGTCAAGAGATATCTGCCTGAATTACATCTACATAGCATGTCTTGACCTAAACTCATGTCCAAAATCCCCAGTTGGTTGATTGGTTGCTTGGATGAAACATTTTTTACTTAATTTTAACCAATCAAATCACTTAAATGCAAGTCTCAACTTCAAGTTGTTTATGTTTGTGAAATGAGGGCATAGATATAACAAGTGAGATTATACATCTTATCAATAGCCTTAATATACAGAGCCAAAATAAGACAAGGCAACCTAAAGATAATACAATTTCTTGTTTTTCGTAGTATTTTACTGGTAATGGGAATTTTATGTATTAAATTAAATTTCTAAACCTAAATTATTTAAAAGATTTGTATGATTTTTTTCCCCTTATATTATCTGTTGCATCTTTTTAAGAAGCTGATAAAATCCCTTATGCAAAAGAAGGAAAATCAGCTATAATTTACTTCTCAGATTCCAAAGCATGGGACAGCTTAAGAATAGTGTTAGTAATAATAATAGCAAGAAAAATTTCAGCAATCGTCCATGGTTATGATTGTATACAGTATAAACTTATATATAAATGTTTCGAAATTGCAACCAATAGATCTAAATAGAGTTGGAATTATATGAAAAAGAATCATTGCACTTGTTTAAACACAACATTTCATTTATAGACACTGTTTATCACTAAATGCCAAATAAAGAGCACAGCAAAATAATTGCTCACTTATCTATGATAATAATTACTCATCTTGAATGAAGTAAAACAAAAATAGAATGAAACAAGATAAATTTATTGAGAGAAAAAATCCATAATCATAATTCACTGATTAAGAGACAAAATAAATAAGTTTGTTTCTTTAGTTGAGTGACAAAAGTCATCAACTTAATTCACCAATGAGATTAATTTGATAAACAGAGAATACAGCCATCTGCACCATGGTAAATAGATCATAGGTTTAATATCAACAAGCAAAAACAACACAAATCTTTTAAAATCCAGAAAATGATAATCTGTTGCTAAAGATAAAGATCTCTGGTAGTATGGATTGACTCCTCCAAAGACAAACAATTTACTTGAATGCTACAGTGAAGATATTTAAGAGTGTTTCTCATTATGACAATATTGGCATTGTGTGGTGTTTGCTGAAGGTAAACAAACAAGAACTGTTGAATTGACTCTATATACCATTGATCTCTCCATTTAGAAAAGGAATGATTAAGTGAAACATGACAATATATTTATATGATATTATTTGTCCATGCATGATGACTAGGGGCATAAATGACAGGTTGTTGCTCATAGCATAGGTGTGCTTAGTATAGGTCTCGCTGTTTATGTTATGGTTTTTCTTTCTTTTTTTCAAAGGATATTAATGACAAATATCCAGTCTTCATCTCATCATTATATCAGGTGAATATACATGAAACTCTTCAGACAGGATCTATTGTTGCAAAGTAAGTCTGATATAATAAAATAATACATTATTTGCATTTTACCAAACCCATAGATTGTATATACCTTGTATAAGGCATCGCATATCATATTATGATGTAGTCGATTCTTTCACCTATCCATAAGTACATAAGTCAGTATGTTCTCTATTCAATTCTGCAAAATAACTCATTTCCACCATTGCCAAACCTTATGAACAGCTTTAATTTGGGGCAAGAAAGAAACTTACTGATTTCAGGTTAAAAAACAGTCATATGCCAAGGTTCCTGGGCCTAAAAGAAGGACAACTGTCTTCACACAATAACTGAACTTTTACACTTATACCATTACCAGGTTTATTGCAGATAGCTTTTATCTGAAATAAGAAAGATAAACTGGTGATGGAGGTGAAAGGGAAATGTTACAGTAACTCAGACAAGAAACATTACTTCTTTATCAACTACTACATGTATTACCAAATTCTGTGGATGATTTGTATTTGAGACAAAGAGTACACATTCTATTTTATGTCAAAGGTCAAAGTCACATACCCTAAAAGGAGGAATTGGTTGATGACTTGCAAATGAGATAAGAAAGACATTAATGATTTTGGAGTTCAAAGTTTAAACTGTTTAGATCAAATCAGAGACACTACAAAAAGAAAAATAATTTCCACAAAGCCGGTGTTCTGTGACTCTTACCATGACCA